CCCAGTAGTTCAAACCATTATATCCAATCACGGTCCGTGGTCCAAACATCCTCAATCACAATTTGCCACGGTCCAGTGGCCTACCCAATCTTGCCCAACCATTGTGCCCATATGTTTTCACCAACCCCCTAGACCAAATCCATAGTACATCCAAATCCCGATGTTTTCTTCCTCACTTTCGCCTGTCTTCAGCTCTGCGAAACTTACTGCTTGAGGATCAAACTTCCGCCCACGTAGTTTGTCTCAAACTTTCGCCTGGAGAAGCTCTTTCACACCACTCCCGTGTTTCACGCAGCCCTGCCTGGGCTTTCGCGGCCGCCTCCTCCTTCTCCTTCCTCGGGGTTCCAGGGGTATTCGATCCCGTGGCAAAACATATGCCATGGGCTCGTCTTCTGGAGTTGGTACCTTGTTGCTTGTGGTCTTAAAGGAACACCATGAGAAACACCAAAGCCATTTGGGAGGGTCCACTAAAAAAACACATCACCATGCAACTCGACCTATAAACGGTGTGGTTCTCATGACTGCTTCATTCTGGCTTCCCTAGCCATCGTGCATCTGACTGAGTCAATTCTGACAAATAAACATGAGGTCGCTATGCCCACATGATTTTGTGGGACAGCCTGTGGACGCATCGGGAACACTGGTTGTAAGTATGGAACCCCAGAAGACACCAAAAGAGAAACACAAAGACCATGCAACATTTATGGTGCTTGGGAGACATCATGAAGAAAGAAAACGCCACACACACACAACACAACACACACCCACACGCGGAAAACAAGCACCCAGGGTGGTTGATTGATGCTATTGTTGCCAACACCCACGCACGCATACAAGAATGCTGTCTGGCACTGGTTCCTTTTCCTGGCCGCGTGTCTGCTTCTTTTTGAACATTTCTTGCATCTTCTGCAGCTGCAGCAGTGCTGCCTTGTCCTTGTCGGTCATCTGCTTCGCCTGGGGCTGCTGGGAAATGGGAGATGGGAGTGAAGATTGGTGGTTGGGAAGACCTTCCCAAATCCGAGAAGAGAGAGGGTCATCCACGCCGGCTCCTAAGCCAGCACCCTCACGGCCACGCGTTGATGGGAAAACAACTCCCAAGCCTGCAGCGCCTCAGCGATACTGTGGATGGTTGCAAATTCCGTTCGCACCACGAAATGAAACCATGGTTGAAACCATAACGTTTGCTGGTATTTGCAGGGAAATCATCCATTCCAGGGTTTCTTCGGTCTTGCAGGATTTCGTCCATCCTCCACAGTGGACAGTATCACAACAATTGCAATTGCCACAGCCCCGATTCCTGAATCCACATCCCGACAGACTTGGAACCTTTTTCTGAAAACGCACATGCAACGGGAAACAAGGCAACGACACCACACAACTTTGAACTTTAAAAATGATGTCCCTGTCTTGTCTTATTTACGTGTCTCTTCTTGCTGTTCATTTTGTGAATTTATGTACTTATTGTCATTGTGTCTTATCTTCCTTTGTCCATGGATATTAATTGTTGTTGTGTGTGTCTTGTGTCTTTCTGTCCATATTTATATCTTTCTTTACTTCTTTCTTTATTTATTTGTTTCTTTCTGTATGTCTACCTATCTATCTAACATCCTACCTACATATTGATCCATCTATCCATCTATTTAGCTATCTGCCTTCTATCTAAAGTATCTATCTATATATCTATCCATCCATCTATCTGTCTATGTATCGATCTATCTATCTACCTATCCATCTAGTTATCAATCTACCTACTTATCTATCTATCCATCTACAAAAAAAACTATCTATTTGTCTATCTATCTATCTACCTATCTATCTAGTTATCAATCTGTCTACTTCTCTATCTGTCCGTATGTCTATCTAACGATCTATCTGTCTATATATCTATCTGTTTATCTATCTATCTGGACATATTTAGGTGATGAGAGGGAAGCCCGATGTTATGTCTGTTTTGCTTGGCCAGGCTTCTCCAGACTATGTATGATTGGATTTTAGTATGTTACTATTTATTATCCACTTCTACCTGTCCTTCATTCCTATCCTTCTCATACTCTTTCCAATCCCATTCTGTACTGTCAGGAAATACTTAGTGAATGGAATGAAACTAGGGAAGGGATCAGGACATATAGCCTTGCAAGCTGGATCCAGGATGTAGCCAATATTTTTCATGGTTGGATTTGTGACTTTATTAGCTGAGAATGGGTTTATGGAAACCTCAGCATTGATTCGCTTATTTCCGCTTCCCATCTTTTAATGACATGATATACTGTAGAGAAAGGGAAAGCCATTGTCCTTCTACCTCCATTCACTATATTATCTTAAAAATAGAAATGGATAAAGGCAGAATGAAAGTAGAATGTAAGCTTTCAATCCGTTCCATCTCATATCTTTATACATATCTATCTGGCGAGAAGCATAGCCCTGCATTATGGAACGGGTTCTTTCTGCAAGCCTTTGGAGAGTTTTCACCCGCCAGCGAGTCCCGCACCGCTTCCGCCATGGCCTCATGGCAGGCATGGGCCGAGCTGTCCCAAGGCAGGCGAGAAAATCCGTGGATGGTCGAAAGACCAAAGGGCTTGAGCTAAATCATAACATGCTATTGACCAATGAACTAGGTACCCCACCCTTGAGCACGGCTCACACCTTGGGTTGTTGATCTCAAGGAATAATTTCTCCCAGCTAGATCACGCGTCAATGAGTTGCTGTGCCAAAAGGGTGGCAACTAGTCATCAGCACGCATTCTTAGGAAGCTTAGGGTTGACCCATCTTTTCCATTCAACCGTGATTTTAAGCTAGCAACAGACCCGCCGACAAAAGCACCCCACCCTCATCTCGCCACCCATGTTCCCTCAGCTAGGTGCTCCCATTTTCGGAGACCATTGCATGGGCAATGCTGGGCCAACCCCTTGATTGTGACATGTTGAAGGCTCTGATTCGGTGTCATCTCCCTTTGAAGGGTCTAACAAACATCCACCCACCCGTCCACTGACCCCATTAACCACCGCCGGGCCCTCCAACGCCCCCGGAAACGGCGAAATCAACTCGCGGAGGGCAACTTCCTGGCGAGCGCTCACCAGCGACTGGGAAACGCCTCAAAAGGCGAACTAAACCCCTAAAATGGCAGGTGAAATCAACTGCGCGCGTCTCCAAATGCGGCAACCCCTTGTCTTCGACCCCCCCCCCGAACCTATTTTCAACTCACTACCTCGGAGAAGACGAAACAGCCTAACTGTCCGGTGCTTTCACACTCAGCTGACCCCAAGAAGCGTAAAACGACAGGAACTGGTTGAAAGGAAACCTTGGCTTTGCTTATGTTTTAAGGTGGAGGCCCATCCCGACCAATGAGGATCAGCCATTCACAATGTGACCTCTGACCAGCAACACATCCTCAAAACGTCTTCGGTTTTCCGTTTGGTTTCCCTTTACAACCATAAAAAGGGGGTACCCTCACAAAAAGATCCACCCATATCCAGATTGATCCAGATTGCAGGCAAAGGTGGACTTCAAGACGCCGTGATTGCATGAGCCATAGTTCATGTCACAAGCACTTGCGTGAGCGTTCCAGGCAGGACAGTGCTCTCATTCCAGAAACCAGCGGGAAAAACTACAGGAAATGAAGCAACGACCCGGCAACACCCATGGAAGCGCTCATTCCCTGTAGGTTTTCCAGCCGATTTCTAAGACCTATGCCTTAGACAGGATATGCTTCTCTCGAGCTCTAGGTATCGCCTACAACCCTACAAGCAACCTCTGATATCGCGGCTCGCCCACGGAGGCATCATGGCTGAAAAGCTGATCACCTGACAAGGCCTGCAGGTCAAATGCTTCCAAGCATTCGGAATGCGTCAGCGAGCTGAAGTCGAACAAACAAATAGTACTGCAAAATCCGGGGGAAATTATGAAGACGCAATCAGATTCACAAAATGCCGAGACTTCCTCTCCCTGACACATGCCATGAGGCAATCGTGCCCGCCGTGCCTAAGGTTCCGCCAGCAGACTCGCAGGAGAAAGGTGCAAATCCCGTGTTGGCTCTTAGGCTTGAAGGATCCCAGTGGGGGCTATGGAGACAAACAAAAAAGACACGCTTTCTGGCAACAAAAAACAAGAGACATTGGACTCCTGGACTGTAACTTGCAACTCCGCATCCCCTACTGGGATCTCTTGTTGCGAGTCGAATGAGCTGAGAGCGTCCAAACCTGAACAGCAAACAGCCACACACGCCCCATAACTGAGGGTGGAACGGCAAAAGAAACAAACACGACAAGTCTCTAAAATGCGACTAATTCTGCCAAGTGTGGACGCTCTCAGCTGAGTTCCAGCATAAAACATCATAGGCAGCTCGAACGCCGGCCTGTTGCTCATGGAAGCCTCTGAATGCCAAAGCACCAAGTTCCATCTCAAGTGAATTGACCAAGCGACGGTGGGTCCGCCCAAATCCTTCCCAGCCACTTGCCACACAGTTGATCCAATACAAAACAGTTAATTACTATAGCTGCAGAATGCTCACGTTGGGATGGGATTTGGGAGGACCCCCTCCTGAGCTGTCCTGCTCAAGGGCCGCCTAGGCCGACGAGAGACTAAGTGACTAGCTGATCGACCGACTGGTGAGCCACAAGCAAAACCCGAGATAAAGTCGACCCAAAACCAGGTAAATCATCAGGGCGCTTTTTCCGCGCCCCGTCATTTGAGGTTGTCCGTAAGCATCTACCCAGGTTTTGATTGTGGCTCTGCGGCCTGGGCAAAAGCTTTGCAGAGCTTTTGCCCGGCGAAACATGCCGGAGCACCAAACATGCCGGACCCACCACGACACGATGCAACACGCGGTGCCGTGCGATACAAAACGTGGCCCTTGGGTAGATGTTACGTGCTGCAAGTGCTCTGGGGCTGAGACTATGTAAGTGCCACTGTGGAATGTCGTCTCAAGTTTCAAGCCCGTTGTCACCAAACCCAAATGGCTCCCCATTCGGGCTGCAAAAACGGCATGCATCAAATCTCTGCTTGCTGGTCATGTGTGTCTGTATTGCTCTCACTCTACATTCTACAACCACACTTCTTTAGGACCTTTGCAGTGTCTACGTGGCTTGCTGGACCGTTGGACCATGGCTGCATGGGCCGAATCGATCACCTTGAGCCAATGCATGCAAACTCCAGCTCTGCAAGCGGGGCACATTGCTCAAATCTCCGAATCTATGGCCCATCTCAGCTGGGGAAAAGAAAGGCACCCATTTGAGCCCTGATCAAAGCCGACCGGTATTAAGACGTTGCACCCACCCAAGGAGCAGAAGGTTCACGGCGGCTGCACCTATTTATGGTTCGGATTGTCCCTTACCAACCTTCATCTACCCTAGTTTTAATTATAACTCAATCCTTGTTGACATGACATACCATAAAATAACACGAGAAACCTTCCCCCCAAAGGATGCCACAGGGCGACAGCCTTTACCACACATTGGGGGTCCCCTATTAGAATGATTAGCTTCCTTTTGGTGTCCCTTTGATAATCAACTTCAAGAAACTCCCATATGCTGCATGGCCATTCAGCGGGTGAAAGGCTCCTGAAAAGGACCATCTGATTGCCATCCCTGCAACAGCCAGGTTGCGTCTTGGCAAAGATCCGATCGACACCGTTGGAGGGAACTAGTAATAAGGGTAAAGCTCCACAAGCCGCGCATCAGGAAGGCCAAAAAACCAGAGGAACTCCAAACCGTGGTCAACAACTGCCCCAAAGGATAACGTTCAACGTTCCAGAGGGACATCAAATCCAAACCTGGGTAATTTGATACAATCCAACAGTTGAGTGAGAGCACCCGCATTGCTCGCAATGCACAAATCTAGTTGAATCCTAATGGCTCATGGATGTTTGGTCGCACCGCAAAACCCGCAAGACCGCGAGACCAGGTTTAACGGGAAACCAACAAACACCCCTGTGAGGGTGGCTCCTCTTTTTGTTGAAGGGATCCCCAATTGTGGCTTCGCAGGGGTAAACCACCCACCAACTCAAAGAACAACTCCCTCACCACACACTAAACTCACTGAAAAGCCCACTAACCACACACTAAAACTCACTGAAAAACCCACTAACCACTCACAAACCGCTCAAGTCACCAGTTCCCGCCCCATGAACTCCGCACAGTCACCGCGACCACCGCGACCGAAAACGGCCTCGGGCCACCAGGTCCCGACCGTAGGCCGTGAGCTTCTCGGAGCTCTGGCCCAGGCTTGGCGAACCGGGGGCCAAATCCACCTCGACCCTCCAAATCCCAAGTCGGAAATGGGATTTCCTGATGTGAAATCCATGCAAAAACCCATGCAAAAATGGGTTGCCTCAAAATCCTGGTGTGAAATCCCATCAACTGTTTGATGGGTTTCAGGGTCCAGGTAGTCTAAAAATGAGCAGTTTCCCTGAGCAAGCCAAGAAAGAAGGAGGGGTTGAAAAGATAAGATTCCCCACCCCGCGCCAAGAAAAAATGTGAATCGTGTGCGACGATGAGCACGCCACAAGAAAATGGAAAAGGGAAGGGGGTGGTCAAAAAAGGGGGGAAAGGGTGAAAAATACCCGGCAAATGTCGAGGAAAACTGGTTGCTCCTGAATTCCTGAACCCCCCAAAAGCCCAAAGAGGAGCTCAATTGTTGCACCCAAATATGGCTGGACACAATCCATGCTGTGCTGAGAAGTCTGGTTCATAAATTAGGTACTGGTGCGAGGCGGATGTTGTCCATACCACAACACTGGGTCCAAAGTGACAGCCTTCAAAGGATCCCCCACATTGGTTGGCGCGTTGGTTGGTTGGCTGGTTGGGCTGGTTGGGCTGGTTGGTTGGCCTGGCTGCGGGGTTAGATGGAAATTGAATTTCTTATTCCTAATTGGACAAAAACCCGCCGACATTGTGGAGGCGTGTTGGATACTTCCCCCGCCCGACGTCACATACGTAGGGTTTGGGAAGGGGGGGGGGGCGTCAAGCACGTACCGCGCGGTAATTTGATGACGTTCCACTGAACGTACAACACAGGTGTCCCAGGCTCGAATCCCCCTGCCGGCTCTTTGCTGGTTTGGGTTTCCTGCCTCCTCTTGCCGAAAATATTGAAAAACTCTGTGTTATTGACGTCCTCTTTGCGAAATCGCTGGAAAAACCGTGGTGTTTTGTTTGCGGGAAATACTGGGGAGCAAAGGGGAAATCCAAGGAAGTGCAAGGAAATGAGGGGAGGAAATAGGAAGTCGACATGACAGGAAAGCGAGGGGAAATGAAAGGGAAACAAAGGGGAACTGAAAGTGACATGAAAGGGACAGAAATGAAAACAAGGGGAGTACAGGGGGAATGAAAGGGAAACAAAGGACAAGGAAACCAATCGGCACGACGGGAGATTAGGGAACTGAGTGGCAACGAAAGAACGGGACATACATGGAAAATGAAGCGGACATACCGAGAAAATGACAGGGACATGAAGGGAGAGTTGAAAGGAATGGAAGGGACATGACCGACCAGGACATCATGGGAAGCG